AAAAAAAACAAACGGAGAAAAAACTAAGGAACACACTTTGTTGCCGTAAAATAGAATGAAACATAGGCTCGTATCAAACTGAATTTCACCGAATTAAGCAGTTTCAGTACAAAGATAAATATAAAAGGTTGACAACATTAGTTTGTGAAAAAGACGTATTACTACTGCAGTGACACACTCAAAGATCTAAGTAAACATGTTTAAATAAAGAAAGAAATATTGTCAGCCATTAATTCATTTAAATGTCGTTGCAGAAAAATGTAAGTTTACGAGATGAGGAGAAAGAGTAGGGCAATTGCTATTTGAAATTCTCAAACTAATTTACTACAAATGTATAGCAATCACTCGTTAACGTTTTAAAAATAGGTGAAATTCTCGAACGACTGAATATTGATTGTCTATGAAAGCGAGAAGCTCTTATTGAGTTCTATATTTTGATAGTGAGTCATTTGTTGCTGTTCTACTTTCAACGCAGACACTCGTCATTCTCACTTCTTCACATCTCTTGCCCTACAACAACGATTTTTATTGTAAGAGATATGCAAAACTAACCGTAGAACAGCTCTTTTATAAACGTAGAGCTCCCAAAAAATAAGTACTCTTAGGTCAGCTTTGCTTTGAGATTTTCAAAGATTTTACGAGCGTGTAAAGACGTCGATCTCATTCGAGGATAAGACGTTTCAGGAAATTACAGAGACATTGCTTTCGTTGGGTAGTGACAGCTTTTATAAAGCAGGCAATAAGGTTTTTACTGATAGCGATTGTTCAAACACATTATCGTCTATCATCCTTGAAGGGTGAACTTCCCCGTGAGCTTGAAACCTGCAGATCTGGGTCACTCAGTGGAGAGAATCATCATCACTATTTCTTATGAGTGTCAACAGACATGCGGCATTCTGACCAGTTTCCTGACTTTGCTAACAATGAAATTAAGGTTTTTTAAGGAAATTTAGGAAAATTTGTATAGTTTCTTTGCTTTGTGCATCTTAGAAGTTTGGGAATGTTTTGACGCACCCTTAACTCTTCAGAAATGTTACGAGTAACAATGGCAAATTACACAATTGTTTGTTCCACTGATACGAGCACCTCCAATTAGTATAAAGGCGAAGTCATGCCATAGTCGCAGTTGGCGCTACTTCTCTCCAGGTGAGACTTCTTCCATATTTGTTCATTCATTATTCTTCATCATTTGTTTTCATAGAACCATGAACGCTAAGACTGTCGCCTACACATCTATTGCGCTTTCTATTGGGGCGACTGTGATGATCGCCCTGTTCGCATCACGCTTATCCAGTGTGCTTGGAGAGATTTCTGAAGAAATGGAGAGGGATATGAACGAGTTTAAGGAGATGGAAAAGCAGGCAACGTGCGTTTCTTGCAAACAGTGTTTTATTGACTTCTGTGGCCAACAAGCTGTAACAGGCCTACGTCCAGTTTTGCCGGCGCTATTGATGTGTTTTTAATTTCTCCAAATTCGTACGAGTGACTCTCATTTCACCCAAACCGTCATACAACCAGCTTAGAAAGCTCTAAGCTTTCTATCACTTTAGCTAATGAAAACTACTCAAGGTCGCTCTACCTAAAACACCTACTTTTTTAGAATCCACGTTCGTGTTGGCCGTGCAGCAAGGAGAAGACCAACACAACGCCGTTATCGCCAGACCGGTGGAGAATGTCAATGTCGCCAAGACAGCAACTGTCCTCGAGGTCCTCCTGGAACACCGGGTTTGCCTGGAGAGGATGGGACTCCAGGACAGCCCGGATTGCGTGGAGCACCAGGGCTACGTGGTAACTTCCCCGCAGTTGCGATGGATTCACGTGGACAGTGCAGAGCTTGTCCGAATGGACCGCCTGGACCGCCAGGACCTCCAGGACTACCTGGACTACCGGGTGCTCCTGGGCCAAGCGGCGACTCTCTCTCATCTGGCACACCCGGCTCACCGGGACTCCCAGGTGACCTACGAAATTCAAGAGTAGGGTGGAATCATGAAATTCCTTATTTCAGGGCAAGCGGGTTTACCCGGAGAAGGTGGTCGCCCAGGTCAACCAGGACCTGCTGGAGATCGTGGTCAGAATGGAACTCAAGGCAGCAAAGGACCACCTGGTCCAGCAGGCCAACCCGGTTCTCCTGGAGAAAACGGAGCTCCTGGTATGCCAGGACCACCTGGCCAGGAGCCCCCAGGTGCAGTACCTGGACCACCTGGTCCTCCTGGTGCACCCGGAGCCCCCGGAGTACCCGGTATTCCTGGTGGTCCCGGCGGGGCCGGAACTGTTGGAAAGGATGCGAATTATTGTCCTTGCCCACGTCGTGATCGCGTTCGTGCACGTACTGGAAAGAAAAAGGTCTAAGTGCATTGAATCTGAGACTCTAATAAAGCTTTTGATTTCCATATAAAGATTCTACCAAACTAGTCAAGATAGTAAGATAGATTGGATAAATCTTTTTTGATTGTCAGTCAAACCCACATGGAGAGTGCAGAAATTCCGAAATTAATGGTCAGAAGACTATATTAACTGACTCTTCTACAGAAATTGCTTCATTTGGGATTATGTAGCCTGTACAAACTGCATGCTTCCGCTACTACGGCCTTGAAATGGTGTTGAACCTGTGATTTATCTGGGAAGGATAAGAAGGCGTACAAAGTAGATGCACAGGCTATACTTTCTTTTCTCTAGTTACATATTTTCGGAGCGATCGACGATAGAGTTTTATAA